CTGGGGCATTCTGAGCCTGCCCCTCTCTGTAACATGGGCTGCGGGGGTCTGTGAAGGGAGCACGGGGGGGCCCATGAGGCTGTTCCCAGCGGGGAGCCCCCAGTCTATGGGGTGGGGGGACAGCCAGAGTCTCAGGTTTTTCCTGGAGCTCCTGCCTCCAGCCAGTGCCCCCAGCCTGCCCCATCCCACCACAGCCATTTCCCCACCCAGGGGATGACTGGCTCCTCTGCTGCTCCTGGGGCCACGGGAGGCAGATTCCCCTGCACCACCCCAGAGTCAGCCACAGCTCAGCACCAAGGGTGAGGGCCCCCTGTGTAAACAGCCATCATGCCCCACCCCAGCCAGGCTTGATGCCTCTGGTGCTGCCATGGGATGTGCGCCCGGGGAGGGAGAGAGGGCTGAAGTGATGGGGGGATGTTCCCTTCCTCCCTCCCTGCTCTCCCAACCCCCCACCTCCTCCAAGGGCAATAAGGTGCTGGGAGGGGGGGACCAGCTGGATCTGGGTGTCCCACGCAGACCTTGATGCCCCTTTGGGGAGCCTAATGCCAGGCTGGACTGCTGCCGTGGATGAGGAGCGGGGCAGGCTGGGCTGGGGGTCCCACCCTCCTCAGTCCGAGTGCAGGGGAAGACCTGGGGCCCATGGAGCAGTGTGGGACCCAGCTGGGGGAACCAGGGGGAAGGCAGCCTGCAGGTAACACTGCTGGGATAGTGCCAAGTGCCAGCGCTGCCCCCCACCCCCATGCACCCCAGGGCCTTTAATCACTGTCAGGGCAGGCTCTGGGTGGTAAATCTCACCCAAAAAACAGCCCCGCCCTGCAACCCAGACCCTCAGTACCGCACTGGGGCATTGGGACCAGCACTGACTGCCAGGGGACAGCGCCCCCTGCTGAGTCCCCACCCTGGTCCCTGCAGCACAGCGCCCCCTAGTGCCACTCTGGGTCATTGGGGTCAGGACTGACTGCCAGGGGAGAGCGCCCCCTGCTGAGCCCCTCTCTTCCTGCAGCCCACTCAGTTCTCCTTGGCATGCTCACCCAAGTACCGGCACAGCCTCCGCTGAGCTGCCAAGCCCTTTGGAGCCCCCAGGCTGGCACCCAGCGCCCTGCATTGGGCAGGAGCTCAGCCCATCCCCCAGGCTGCTGGCACCAGCCCAGCCCTGGCACCGCCTGCCCCACTTGGCTCTGGTGTTGTCTGCAGTGGCGTCTCCTTGGCTTGGAGCCCCTCCCCCTGGCTCCTGAGCCCCCCAGGCCGCTGATCCCACTGGCAGGGCTGCGCACTGGGGGGCAGCACACTGGTGTGACTGCAAGGGTCCGTGGCAAAGGGGAGCGGGGTCCGCCTTCCCCACTCCTTGGGCCAGGCCTGCAGTGGCAGCGGACGGGGCGCAGGTGGCGCTGTTGGCCAACACATGGCAACATCATCCCCATAGCCCGAGAAACGCCCTGGGGACGTGGCAGACCCTCCATGGGGCTCAGGGACCCCCATGCTGCCCCCCCCCCAGGCTCTCACACACGGGCAGCTCTGGGCACAGGGACTGGGTCAGAGCCACTGTGCCCCACCGTGCCAGGGCATCTCCTGCCCCCACTGCCTCTCCCCACATGGGCAGGAGAGACCCTCGCATTTCATAATCCCCCCCCCCCCCCCCCACACACACACAACCCCCACCCTTTCTCCCTGAGGGCCAGGGCCAGGTTCAGGGTGGGAGTAACCCCTGGAGGCCCTCTGCCATGGCTGCTCCCAGCCCATGGGCAATGGGTGGGGGGGAAATACTGTGCAGTTCCCAAGGGGGACAGTCAGCCACAGCCCAGAGCAGGGGGCTGGAATTCCTCCCCCAACCCATGCGGGGGAATGGGGGGCTCAGCCACAGGGCCTGTCCCTGCCCCAGTACCAAGGTGGTGCCCCAAACCAGCCCCCCGCTGACAGGGCGACACAAAGAGCCCTACAGGACAGTTCCTCAGCTCCCCAGAGCCCCCTCACCCCTCTGCCCCCAGCAGCCTAGAGGGCCCCCTCGCCGCTCAGAGCTGGCATCAGGTGCCTTCTGGCGCTGTGGAGACCCAGGGACCAGGACTGCGCAGCGGAGATGGGGGTCAGGGGCAAACCTGAGCCAAGGGACGCTGGAGTGAGGGATTGGAGCCACGGCCCCGCTCGCTGGCTGGGAGCGGAGACGTCCAGTGAAATCCAGGGGGCACTGGCTCCAGGGGGAGCTGGCACTGGCAGGGCAGCGTCATTCACCAGCCACCCTGAGCGAAGGCCCCTTGATGATTCCCTGTTCTGTTCAATCCCTCTGCAGCGCCTGGTGCTGGCCACTGTCGGGAGACAGGATACCTGGGAAGGGGAGGTGAGCACTGGGGCTAACACCCCCTGCTCGTGGGGATGGCAAAGGCAAGGAAAGGGGGACTCGCGTCGCGGGAACACAAAGACAAGAGGTGACCCCCCGAGGCAGCATGAGCCATCTCAGCCCCTGCCCCAGTGAGGGAACAGGGTCACTCGCCCATGGCACCTTGGCACATGGCTGCTAACCTGCAAAGACACCAGCCCTCCCCTGGCACACTCAGCTGCAGAGACCCGTCACCTGCTCCCAGGGAGGGGAACTTTATTGGGGGAGCATTTTCACCGCTACAGTCGATGCCTGGGGAAGACAGAGGGGACCCTGGGGGGGAGCAGATCCCCCCTCACCAGAGGAGCATTCTGGTGCAGAGATGAGGGCTGTGGGAGGCAGGTGGGGTGGGGGGGCTCTGGCCCAGCTGCCTTGGAGTGAACCGCTGGCTGCAGCGACAAGCCCAGTGCCCCCGTTAGTCAGACCTTCCCTGGGGAAGAAACCCTCCAGGGGCCCAGACAGGATGTGCCTGTGGGAGGCACTCCTGGGGCCAGCCCCCCAGCCACACTGAGATCCAGGGAGCAGGGTCCCTCCCACAGCTGGGGGGGCATCTCCCTCATTCGCCCCCTGCAGAGCAGCATTCCCTCCAGGGAGCAGGAGCTGAACCGGCTCCGACTGAACCCCAAATCCCTGCCCTGTGACCGTCCCGGAGCCCTGAGCTAGAGGCCAGGACTGCCCATGGCCTTGCCCAGCGCCTGTCCGCCAGGCACCTCTGCCTGGGCCGCGCTGGGCCTGGAGAGCCGGGTGCGCGAGAGCTCATCAGGGGAGATTTATGAGCAGTTGAAGGGGTGCAGCCGCTCAGACCGCGCGCAGCTCCCCGCCGTAAATCAGCCGCGGCTGGAGGCTGAGACTCCCGGGCTCCTGCACAAGACGCTGCAGGCGCAGATCCAGGGGGCGGCCGGAGAGGAGGGCGCCCACCTCTGGGTACAAACCCCCAAGACAGCTGGGATGATCCTGAGCCCTGGGCACATCCCTGGGGCAGCTACAGCAACCCAGGGGCCAGCTTGGGAAAACCAGCACAGGCACCAAGCGGCCGGGAGCCAGAGCCAGGGAGGTCAGCGACTCTGCCCGGGGTGGCAGGGCGCAGCGCAGGAAGGGCCGAGCAGGAGCCACCCATTACGATCGGAGCTGGAGCTAGCGGCACAGGGGGCCTCAGGCTTCTCCCCACAGCTGGGGAACAGCATCAAGCACCCCACTGATCTCACTCCTAGGATCCGGGGCAGCAGAGGGATGCTCAGGCCTGCCCCCCACAGGAGCCCGGGGGGTCACAGCAGGGTCTGCACCCCCCCTCCCCCCGGCTCCGAGAGCCTCTCCTCAAAGCTGGTTTGAGGGCAGGGATTACCCATGGGGCCTCTCCCCCGGGATGGGGGGAGTGGCAGCGTGCCACAGAGCCGGAAGGGCCCAGCCCAGCAGGGGGCAGTACGGCCAATAGGGGCAGGGCAGGGGAGCGCTGCGGGGGGGCTGTCAGCCATTGACCCCAACTGTAAACCCTGCATGTGACGGAAACCACTTCAAGCCAGGGGGTGCGGCTGCACCCCGATTTCCAGCACCTCTGGAGCTGTGATGTGGCCCTGCAGGGATCCAGCTGTGGGCAGGGTCTGGATCAGCGCAGTCAACTCTGTCCAGCTGCACAGCCCCTCTGGGCCCGGCCCGGGCGACGGGCCCCCCGCGGGCCCCCCGCCCCCCCCCCCCCCCGCCAAGATCCAGGCCCATGGCACCCAGAGAGCCAAGGGCAACCAGTGGGAGAGGCTCAGCAGCCTGCAGCTCCCATTGCACGCAAGGGGGAGCCCCCCCTGCCCCCACCATTGAGCACAATGGGGAACCCAGCCCCCCAGCGTGCGATGGGGAACCCTACACCCCCGGCCCCCATGAGCACCCTGGAGGCTGGCTGGAAGTGGCTTTGCCCATGGCACCGCACTGGCTCCATGGCAGAGCTGGGCCAGGGGCGCCAGTGACGCTGGCCCCTCATTGCAGGGCAGGGAGATCCCAGAGCCGTGGGGCTGCCAAGCTGGGTCCCCGGGAAACGCAGCTAACAGCAAAGGCACCTGGGCAGCGCGTGGAGGAGACGCCCCTCCCCACTCCCCTGTGCTGGATCCCCGACTCTCCCCTGGCCTGGGAAGCTGCTGGGCTCCAGAGCCCACCCCACGCTGGCTGTACCCAAGTGGCAGGCCCGAGGAGGACATGAGCCCAGGTGACACCCCCTCCACCCCCCCATCAGCAGCACCTGCCCCAGGAAAGGCCTCAGTGGCTGGATCATAACTGGCTACTGCAATGCCAGGGAGTGCACAGGGTCCCACCCCCTGGAGGGAACAGCCAATGGAGATGGAGGAAGCAGGATGATGTGGGGAAGCCCCGCCCCCTCATCACACCCCAAAGAGGGCCCTAGGCCAGGACACACAGCCACCACAGGGGGCAGCAGTGAGGCAGGGTCCAGGGTGCCACCCCATCCCATCCTGGGCTTGGTTTCAGCAGCAATGAGTCTGGGGGACCCCCTGCGAGTCCAGGGATGGGACAAATGGCTGGGCTGGGCAGCAGCCACCTCCGCTGACCCTGAGGTGGGGTTCCCTGTTGTTCAAGGGCTGGGGAAGCAGCAGCCGCCCAGAGGGTCAGAAAAGAGCCAGACAGCAGATCCAGCAAAATCCTCCAGCGTGTTAGGGCGCCAGGCAGTGCGTCATACAGGACAGGGGGGTGGGACACAGTAGAGATGGGGGCAGCGGTGGGATCCGTGCCCTATCGCAGTAGAGACCACTTGATCTGTTCTTTGGCCGACTGCAGCACCTGGAAAGCACAGACAGGGGGTGGCTCAGCTGGAGGGGCTGGGTGGCAGATCCTCTTCTCCCCTCCCCTCCAGTAACCTGCCAGCCCACTGCTAGAGCCAACCCCCTTCGCCATGGTGACCACAGGCTTCAAAAGCCCTGCAGGGGGCATGGGAACCCCACAGCTCTCTGGGTACGAGCAGGGGCTGATGCCAAGATCCAGGGCCCCAGTTGGCGGCTGTCCCCCCCCACCCCCAGAGGGAGCTGCGTGTGGGCCAACTGCTGCCTGCAGGTCAGGCTCTTTCAGGAGCCCTGGGCCCTTTGGCTACTGGGGCCTTGTCTGGGTGCCGCTCCGCAGGGGGAGGTGTGGCTGTGGTGGAAGGGTCCGCGGGCCGGCAGGACAAAAGTTTGCCAGGCTGGATCCAGCAGGAGAGACTGGCCGGAGAACAGCTGGGTCAGGGGATTCCCTCTACTGCCAACCCAGCCTGCAGCCGCAGGCACCAGCTGGCACCAGGTGAGCAGAATCTGCCCCTGCCGTCCCGTGGGGGAGCAGGGACTCCATGAGTTTCGGTTACGGGCTGTTCCCCATGACTGGGCCAGGCACTGCCTCACAATGGGGCACAGGGAACCGGATCCAGGGTTAAGATCTGTCTTGTGGCTCAGCCCAGCCTGAGCTGGGATAGGCCCCAGCAGGGCACTCTGTCCAGCCGGGCAGGCTGCCGTCTAGGGCTTTGGCCAATGAGCAGCTGGCCCGTCTGGAGGCAGAGCTGCCCTGGACAGGAGAGCGCTGGGGCAGCCCCCACCAGCAGGCTGCATGGCACAGTGTATCTAAGGGCCTGGCTCAGAGCACCCAGCCCAGCAGGAGCTGGGTTACTGTGGGGCCCACAATATTTCTTAGGCCCTTACTCTAAGTTAGTGCCACCCTTTGTGTGCCCCACTGGCTGTGGGCTCCCCAGGGCAGAGGCTGTGCCCGCCACTGGGTCTCGTGCAGCACGGAGCACGCTGGGGGTGGTTAACAATTGCTGCATGTTGAAATCCAACCCCATACTTCAGGGCATTAGCTGGGAAGCGGTCAGGAGGCACCCCCCTATGGACTGCATTGCCACTAGGGGGCGCTGGAGTCTGCAGGGAAATTACACCAGGCCCCTGGGGGGAGGATCCCAGCTGGTCTGCCCTGGGGGATCCCATGCACAGCTTGGGCTGGGCCTGATTGGGGGAGGGTGGGGACTGGGCTGGAGATGGCGAGATCTGGGGATGGGGTAGGAAGTCGCAGAGTCCTGGAGCCGACTGGGGGACAGGCCTGCCCGAGCTGGGGGAGTGATGGGTGGGGACAGGGACGTACCTGAGAAACTGTCTGCTCTGTCAGGGGGACGTCTTCGCCCTGCAAAGACACATATCATGGAGCAGCACCTCCAGCCCCCCAGTGCCACAGGAGGTGCCGCCCTGAACCGCACCCCCCAATGCTGCAGGGGCTCGGCTTTCCCCCGGCTCAAAGCAGGGGGCACCGCCCTCACCCCCACCCCAGTGCTGTAGGGGACACGGTTCCCCCCTTCCTCCCAATGCAGGGGGCTGGGCAAGGCAGCCATGCCCTTCCCCACTGCTCTCAGTGGCAGCTGCTGGGTGCTGGGCCCTTCAAGGAGTCAGGCCCCAGCTTAGCCCCAGCCTGGTTAGCAGCCACCCCTGCCCCCGGGGGCTGGAAAGCAGGAGCTGGCCCTGGGGGGGCTGCCCCAGAGAAGGGCAGGGGCACAGCAGGGGGTAGATTGTGCCCTGAGGGCTTGTGCTGCCCCTCCCCCCACCCGCCCTATAGAGCAAAGCCATTCCAGGGCAGGCAGGCTCCTGCCCTAGCGCTCCTCTGGGTGCCCAACAGGGGCAGAATGGGCAGTTGGCACAGGGACGGGCAAGTCGAGGAGGATGAGGAGCCTACTGGGACAGGGAGGGACAGAAGCAGGGCTCTAGGGGCTCTGAGTGGGGAGCGGGAGGGGTGGCGCTCACTTACCCGCACGGCCACTCGATGCACCACCTGCTGGGGGTCGCTCTCGAGGATCACGCTGAGGGAGGAGCACATGCCCGTTAACCCTGTGCCGAGAGAAGCCCCTGCTCGCGGGTCCTCCCATGCCCAGGCTGCCGCCCTGCACCGCACCACACCGATGGCCCAGCTTCTAGCCACCTGGGCTCCAACGCAATTCGGAGCAGCCCCTAGGGCTTGTGACAAACCCCCATCCCCAACGGCCGGACAAAGCAGGGGCTGCCCAGGGAGCTGGGTGGCGGGGGAGACATGGGTCAGAGTGGCCAGCGGGGAGGGAGGGGGAACATGCAGAGGGTCACGGTTGCCAGCGGGGGAGGGGGTATCTGGGCAGCCAGGCCCTTCAGAAGAACTTAAACCTCCCTCAATTCACAGAGAAATGTCACCTTCCCGGGGCTGGGCATTTAAAGTGGGCACCTCGCTGGGAACACGCTGCAACCAGTGTGTACGTGTACACACCCACACCCTCACATGCCCACACCCACGCACCAACCAGCTGGACACACGTGACAACAGCCAGCTGGAATCCCCCCAGCACACCCACCCTCACATGCAAGGCATGGGGCGGCTGGCGAACAGGGTGTTCCAGCCCTCCCCAGGGAACACTCCCCAGTGCTGATGCCCGCCCACCGCCACCCCCAAGCTGGGCAGGATGTCCCAGCACTCAGGCCCTGGACACAAGGGCCTGGTAAGATGGGCCCAAGACGGGTTGGGTGGAGGGAGGACGTTGCAGCCCTGGGGCCCATAGGGGGAGTGGGAGCCTCATTTCCTGGGGGGCGCAGGAGACGGCGCTGGTGCTCACCCTCCGTCCACGATCTCATCCACCGCCAGGAAGAGCCCCTCCATGTTCTCCAGCAGGGCGCGCTTCTCCACGTTCTTCCTGCCGAGAGACCCGCGCCCAGTCAGGGAGAGCCCAGGGCCTTGGCACCAGACCCACCAGGCCCTGGGCACCAGCCACAGCCCACATGCCATCCTGCAGGGCAGCTCAGGCTGCCATCGGCGGGGGCCAGGCCCCCCATCTGGCAGGTGGAACTTCAGAGCATCCTGGCGAGGGGCTGCCTGGCTCAGATACGTCCAGTATGGGGTGGGGGGGAGGAGACCCGGGTCTGATCCGCTCACTCCCTGGGGGGGCTGCCAGGCTATACAGACTTGGGGCGATGGCTCCAGGTGGGCTGAGCCCCAGTGTGCTGGAGGGAGAGGGGGGCTGACAGTGTCCCATCCCAGGCACATGGTTCCTCAGCCCCACTGGAGTCTGGGAATGCAATTTCTGCCAGCAGAGGATCTGGCCCACTAGGCCCCTCCCGTGCTCTGATCCAAACCCGGGGGGAAAGGCAGCCCCCAGGGTTTGTGCAGGGTTTGGAGAGTGAACCCAGGATCGAGGCCCTCTCCCCACTGTGCCCCTCTGAACCAGCACAGCCCTGTGTCCTGTTCACGCCGCCCGGAGCGAGATCCCACAGAAGCGCTGACCCAGCCAGGTGGGCAGTGTTTGGCCAACAGTGCCTGGCGCTCTGGGCTCTGCCCTAGATCAGCCAACCCCCTCGCTGCCCGATGACTGCACCTGCCCCCCATATCCAGGCCTGGACAACGGGAACTCTGATCTTATCTGTCCCGTTCTTGGTGCGGCCGACGATCCCGCCAGGGACCGGGGCACCGAGGGGCGGAGCTGGGGCCCTGCTGGTTCATCCCCCTGCTAGGCCGACGGGGCTCCCTTGGCTGGCAGCTCACCCAGCCCTCCTCGGCTCCACTGCCCCGAAAGATCCCCCTCATGGAGCAAGCGCACAGGGCCGCCTGGACAGGACACAGGGCTGTGCTGGCTCAGAGGGGCACAGTGGGGAGAGGGCCTTGATCCTGGGGGGCTGAGCAGCCATCAGCAGGAACGGGGGGTGCTGGCAGGATTGCACCCCACCGGCCGTCTGCAGCTGGTCTGATGGAACGGGCCCTCTCTCTCGAGCACAACAGGAGACCTCGCCCACAGCCCGTTCCTCAGAAACGTTCAGTTGGTACAAATCAGCCCCTCCACTGGTGGCACTGGAGCCTCACTGATTTACACCTGGCCCAGGTCTGGCCCAAGGGGACTGGGGACTCAGAGCTGACCCCCACTCCAGGCCTTTCCGGGTCACCTCATCCTGGCTCAGGTCTTACCCTGCAGCCCATTACCATGGCATCTGGGCGCCTGCCATGTCCAATCAGCAGCAATAGGAGGCCCCTAGTGGCCCAGTTGGAGCAGGGGTGGCCCCGATGCCAGTGCCCCACTCACTGTGAGCATGCTGAGCCCCTGGCTTCCCGCGCCAGAGCCTCAGCCGGTCCTAGACTGACCCTCCACCCCTCGAGCAGGGGGAGAACCCTCCCCACACCCCGCCCTGCCTTGCCACCCCCCATGGGCCTTACCTCAGCATCTGGCTGAGCGAGTCGAAGAGGCAGTTCAACACGGCCATGAGCATCAGCTGGAAGAGGAGACGACGCAGGTCAGGAGATCAGGCCCTGCCCCGAGTGCCCCCAGCTGGCACCCTGCGGGTCAAGCCCTCTGCTGACAGCCAAGCAGGTCCCCGGGCATAGGGCACTGGGGAGGGGCCATCTGCTGGTGGGGGCTGCCCCTGGCGGGAAAGACGGGCAGGCGAGGGGGCAGAGCATCATCACGGCTCTAGTGTGGGGCAGGGGCAGCCTTTAGGGCCTGATTTGCAAAGGGGCCCAGCGCCCACAGCCCCCACTAAGAACAATAGGGGGTGGAGGATGGTGGGGGATTCCCCACGGCTGCCAATGGGGGTGTCTCCATCACTCTCCGTGGAGCTGCTGGGCATGGAGCCCTTTTGCAGATCTGGCGCTCAGTGCGGCTCTGACTCCAGGGCACGCTGCCCTGCCCCACCCCCCTCACAGCGTGCCCAGGGTCAGCTGCCTGTGTGGTGACCACAGGCTGCCCCCCGGCACTACAAGAACGCTCTGTCGCAGCCAGATCACCCACACCCGAGGGCACAGGGGCAGGCAGCGGCGCACCAGCTGGGAAAGCAATGGGGGGTGCGGGCGATGCCCCGCCCCTCAGCAGGGCCAGGTTTCTCTAGGCGAGCGCCCGCCTCCAGTTCTGTACCCACAATCCCCTGCGGGCACAGAGCATCCTATCCCCTAGTACCCGCGCTGCCCCGACACGAGGCTCTAACTCCTCCCCGTGTCCCCCTGGCAGGAACGAACCTCGTTCTCGTAGGAGCTGCCGATGACGTAGAAGTACAGGTCGATGCTGCTCTTGTAGACCACGGTCAGCCCCTCCAGGAGGGCGATCTCGCCTGGGGGGGGAGGGGGGGACAGGCCAGCTCGTGGGAAGAGGGGCTTTGCTAGGGTGGGCTCACCAGTCCCCCTGCTGGTGAGGCAGGGAGGGGCAGCCAGCGTTCATGGGACGGCCCCAGTCTCTGTTTTAGGTGGGCATCCCAAGACCACCCTGGTTCAGAGCATCATCGGTGGCGGAGGGCACGGGGGCACCTCCCTGTTGATTCCCCCCAATGCAGCTGTACCCCAGCCATGGCCCCCAATCCTGACCCCCCACACCCTCCCTGGGAGCAGCACTACTGCGATCCTGTGTGCCCGCAGCGTGCCAGCCCAGCAACTGTATACCCGCAGCGGGCACCTTGCCCTAATGGAGGTGCCCATGGTTCCCCTGGGACCCAGAGTGCGGCGTCTTACCCTCCCCTCCATGGTGCCCTTGGGACCCAGAGTGCGGCATCTGACCTCCCCCCCCATGGTGCCCCTAGGACCCAGAGCGCGGTGTCTGACCCTCCCCCCATGGTGCCCTTGGGACCCAGAGTGCGGTGTCTGACCCTCCCCCCCATGGTGCCTCTGGGACCCAGAGCGTGGTGTCTGACCCTCCCCCCACATGGTGCCCTTGGGACCCAGAGCGCAGCATCCGCCCCTGCCCACTGCAGCGAGTGGAGCTGCAGGGCCCATGAACTGAGCAGGCAGGGAGATCACAGGCAGTGTTGGGGGGCAGAGACCCTTCCCCCCACCCCGCCAGGCCAGGGCACGTACTGTCCGTCCGGTGGGTCTTGTTGAAGATGTTCTTCTCGAAGGCTTTCTGCTCCTTGACGGTGGGGTACGTGTCGTCATAGTACTGCAGGGAGAGGCACGGGCGTTACTTCTGGCCCTGTGCAACGCCAGCTGGGCCTGGAGCCCAGGTCAGTCCAGATGGGCACAGCCTGCAGCTGGGCACCGGGAAGGGGACACCAAGCCCTCCCACCACACCTCGGGGCTGGATCCTGGGCACCCATGGCACCCACCGCAGCCAGAGAGCACCGGGCAGCGCAGGACCCGGAGGGGGAGAAGCAGGGCTTGTTTTCATGCACACGTCCTTGAAATTGTAGGACGGGGGATGGGTACAGGTCAGGACTGAGGGGCACTGGCAGAGCTTGGGGGGAGCCCAGAGCTGGGATAGCAGGGGCTGCAGGTCAGGACTGAGGGGCACTGGCAGAGCTGGGGGGAACCCAGAGCTGGGATAGCAGGGGGCTGCAGGTCGGGACTGAGGGGCATTGGAAGAGCTGGAGGGAGCCCAGAGCTGTGGTAGCTGGGGCTGCAGGTCGGGACTGAGGGGCACTGGTGGGGTGGGGGGAAGTCAGCTTTGCCCTGTGTCTGGTTCCAGAGTTGCTCCCCTCGATCCCTACGTTCCCAATCCTGGAGTTCACTCACAAACGAGAATCCCAGGCCCCTGCCTGCCCTAGGGTAGGTCATGGGACCCAGAGCGCAGCATCTGACACCCCCCACCCCACGCCAATGGTGTCCCTGGTATCCAAAGTGCGGCATCTGACACACACACACACACACACACTCCCCACCGTGGTGCCCCTGGGACCCAACGCACAGCCCCTGATGACAGCCCTGCCCATTCCACGGTGCCCCCGGGACCCAGAGCGCGCCCCACGCCGCGCCGCCTGCGGGCACTCACCTTGGCAAAGAGGCGGTCGCCATCGTTATCCAGGATGAGGACGGCTTTCACCGTGTACAGGGATGGCTCCTGCAGAGACACAGGCCCAGTCACTGCCCAGAGCCTGCCACGGCCCGGAGCCGCTCCAGCCCACCCACCCCCCACACCCGCAGGGAGCTCAGCCAGCCAGGGCAGCACGTGGGGCAGCCGCGGCCCAGAACCGGGGGGAGAGGGGTGTGCCATGGCACCAGGATTAGGCCCACACCTGCTCCCTGTGTCGGCTGGGGGACGGGGGACGGGAGGAGATCCGGCTCGAGGGACCGCCCTGGGGCATGGATCTCGGCACAGCTCCTGGGGCCAGCTCCGATCCCGCCCCAGGTCAGCAGGGCTGGAAAATCAGCCCCACCCCGACGGTTGTTCTCAAGCTGGTGCCCAGCAGACGTGTGCATCGCCCCCAGCTGGGTTCTCAACACAGGGCCGGCGCTGGCCGTGGGCTCTGCTGACAGAGATGCTGCCGCCCCGGCACCTCTCACCCCTACCCAGTGCTTTGCAGACCAGAGGGCCAGCCCCAGCTGGCATCGGGGGTGCTCTGTAACCAGCCCAGCTCTGTCACTATCGCTCCAGGCGCAGCCGCCCCTGCCTCCCACACCCCATGGCGGGCACGGACGGGGCACCAGAGGGACCCGCTGAGAGGCATCAGAATGAGTGTGGAATCGGGGGGGAGCCTGGCCCCCACCCCACAGGCTCCAGCTGTAATCAGGTCCCACATTATTATACAAACCCAACAGCCCACGGCATGACCTAGGCTAATGGCAGGGTGTCTCCAGCGCGGGAGGGGGGACGTTCTGGGGTGAGTGCCAGCGTCCATCAGTCCCCATCCCAGGCCTGCCCACCTCTTGCCTGCCCCCCCCCCCGGATCTGCCAGGGCGTGACCCCTTCACGTGCTGGTGCAGCCCCCCCATTGCCCCAGGTGCCAGCAAGGCCTCCCCGGGGCCCCAGCCCAAGCTGCAGACAGGCCCAATGCCCCATGCCCGGTAACACACAGGCCTGCAGGGCCGAGCACCCCCCAGCCAGCTCTCTGCCCCACCTCGCCGCAGCCTCCCCAGCCCTGTGCTCTCCCTGCCCTTGGCCAGCAGGGGGAGCTCCAGGCCCACAGCAGCCACAGACACGGCTCGCCAAGATCGCCCAGCTGGCGCTTTGACGGGGCGGGGGTATAAATAACCAGCTGCTATCGGGCAAGCCGGCTTCCTGCTGCTCACTCCCCACCCCACCCCACTCTGCACGGGGCAGCTCTAGCAACCACGTTTATCACTCCCCATCCCGGCCAGCCGCTTCCCCCGGGCCCCGCAGCGGCAATGGCAGCTCTGACAGCTTCAAAGACAAGGAAAGCGGGGGCTAGTGGTTAGAGCAGAGGTGGGCTGGGAGCCAGGACTCCTGGGTTGTATCCCCTAGCTCCGGGAGGGGAGTGGTATCTAGTGGTTAGAGCAAGGGATTGGGGGTTGGGACTCCTGGGTTCTATTCCTGGCTTGCCCCTCTTTGCTGCTCAGTGTCAGACGACGCAGATTACAGGTGCTGTTTGCACTGGGAACAGGGTAAGTGGGGGGCCAGTATCCCCTCTGTGCAAGGAAAGGGGACAGATGAGGGTCCCCAGAACTAAGAGGCCATGAATGCAGAAGGCACAAGGGAGGTAGCAGCTGCCAGCAGAGGGCTTGGGGGGGGGGGCAATAGGGGCTCTGGGCTCCTCGGGGGCCGGCTGGCAGTGTGGGGCCGGGGCAATGGGGGCTCTGGCTCCTCAGGGGCCGCTGCCTGTCACCCTGACTGATGAGAGCCCCTCGTCGCCACCAGGATCCACCCCGGTCCCAGCCACTGGCTGAGCAGCAGAGCCCCCAGCCCAGCGTCCCCAGCAGGACTCATTGTGACTCCCCCAGGGACTCCCCCTGCTCAGGTCCCACTGAGACGAGGCCTCAGCCCCAGGCTCTAAGGACTGATAGGTCCCACCCCGCCCCAGGCCTGTCCCCACAGGGCCCCCCGAGCGAAGGGCCATGGGGGAGCTGCCCCTCTGACTAAGAGGGCAGAGTGGGCCAATCCCCAGCCCCTCTGCCCAGCCAGCACCACCCCAGGCGCTCGGCCCTTCATGGGCTCTCCGCCGACACTCGGCCCAGCCCCAGCTCACTCCCCATGCGGCTGCCAGGAGGGGGCGACTGGTGCCCACCCCTGGCTATGGAGGTGGCACAGCCCTTCCCCTCGCCTCCTCCCAGCCCGCAGGTCACCGGGCCACAGTCCAATACGTGCCTGGACCCCCAGCCACCAGGCCCCTTGTTACGGCTCCCATCTACCCTAGTGAGGCACGGCCCTGTGCTGGTGACTCACAGTGGCTCCTCCCCACCCCCCATGGCCTTTGCCCTGTGCAGACCCGGCTCACGGCAAGTCTCTATCCGCCCAGGCTGGTGCCATCACCGCGGTGTCTGGCCTGTTGAGCCCTGAATGCTGACGGCATCCTGCCCATGCAGCATGGCAGAGCGAGGGGATCTTTCACTCAGACACCCACAGATGCACGCAGGAGGAGGCACACCCCAAGCATCGTCGCCCCTGGTCTCCAGGCCACGCTCGGAGCTGGGCACGTGCACAGCTGGAATCCCACATGGATTTACACGGGCGCACCACCGTGCGAGGGGGGGACTGGCTCCCCCCGTGGGGGGCGCGAGATGGGGCAGTTTAGCTCCTGGAATGGGGCTTGTTTGTCTGCAGAGGCTCAGGAAGGGGAGCAGCACTAGTGGGGCTATTAGGGGCTCGGGCTGACAGCGCTGTGGGAAGGATCAGGGGCCGTGCTCCCACGGGCACACGAGCCGCTAATGGCTGGGTGGGTTGGGATTCTGACGTCTCCCAGCGCGCTGGGGCAGGATCTAACCCAGGGGTGGCCAACCTGAGCCTGAGAAGGAGCCAGAATTTACCAGTGTACATTGCCAAAGAGCCACAGTAATATGTCAGCAGCCCCCCCATCAGCTCCCCCGCCCCCAGCACCTCCCACCCACCGGCAGCCCTGGGATCAGTGCCTGTGCCTCCCCCTCCCTCCCGATCAGCTGTTTCCTGGCATGCAGGAGGCTATAGGGGGAGGGGGAGGAGCAAGGACATGGCAGGCTCAGGGGAGGGGGCGGGAAGGGATGGAGTGGGGGCAGGGCCTGTGGGCGAGCCAGGGGTTGAGCAGTGAGCACCCCCCAGCACATTGGAAAGTTGGCACCTGTAGCTCCAGCCCCAGAGTTGGTGCCTATACAAGGAGCCACATATTAACCTCTGAAGAGACGCATGTGGCTCCGGAGCCACAGGTTGGCCACCCCAATCTAAGGACTTCAGCCCATCAGCGGCCCGGCAGCGGCCCGTGGCTCAGGAGACCCTCAGCCCACCAGAGTAAAAGGAAGGGGGTTTGCACAGATCAAGGCATGGGGCACATGGAGATCGCTCCCTGCACCCCACCGCCGGGCATGCGGGCATCGCCGGGCCCCCTGAGAGGCGCCTGAGTTGACAGCGGTGAAGGGGCTGGGAGCCGGGGGAGCCTGCTGTTGACGTATCAGGTGGTCTAAGCAGTCAGCTTAGCTTGCGGCAGAGCCCCACGCAGGCCAAGACCCACAGCTCAGGGCTACAGACCACGTAAAAGGGGTCGGGGCACTTGGGTGGCGCAGCAGAGACCTGGGGGACCCCAAGTGAGACAGACGCTAAAAAGCTCTCGAGACAAAGTTCTGTGATGCACTGACCTCCACGTAGCCACAGTCGGAGTGTATAACAGAACTTCACCTCAAATGCTGCGGACTCTGCATCCGGCACCCCCACCCCGTCCCAGGCACAGGCCCCCCGGTACTGCCCGGGGCCTGGCAGCGGAGCAGAAATCCACCCGCCTGCGGATCTGGGGAGTGCAGGGCGGTTCCCAGATGGGCACGGCTGCCTCTCCTGCAGCTGAGACTCTCCAGAACCAACCCCACACTGGAGCCTGGGCGGTGCCAATCGCCCATGACGCCCTCTATGGAGGCTGCTGGTGCCCAGCACATTCCAGGATTGGGCCCTTGACAGTTGTGATGCATGGACTGGCTTCCACTGGGCACAGCATGGGACTGCCCCACTTCTGAGACCCCAGAGCCCCGCTGGCTGCCTGGCACCAGCCCGAGGGACCCCTCCCCATAGCCGCTCATCCTTGTGTCTCCTAGGGGAGAGAACAGGAACTGCCAGGTGACTCCACAGCCCTAGGGAGCCTGGCTTCACGGGACATGACTTCCCCCAGAAGCCAAGCATGGCCTAGCCTGCAGGGAATGGGCCCGATCCTGAAGCCCTTTAATTCCAGAAGTGCCTGTCAGAAAGCTGGGCTGATCCCCACCCCCAGCCCAGGAGACCAAGACAGTGGGGCTGAACCTGCCAGCAGCAACCAGGCCATTCGGGGGCATCTCCACTCGTGGGACACCCTAAGGGGTCTGATTGGTGGGTGCACAACCTAAGGGCCCGACTGTCAGAGGTGCCAAGCACCTGCTGCTCCCACAGGCATCACTGCAAGTGGCCAGTGGGTCTGAGAATCAGGTCAAAAAACTCTTTAGGGCTTGTCAACATGAGAAGTTAATTTAGATTAATTCCATGTGTGGACACTCTTACTCCGGTATAAGAGTGCCCTATCCTGAATTAGCTTAATCCACTTCCAAAGTGGATTAAGGGTTAAACTAATATTAACCTACTAACTGACACATGGAGTTAATCTGGAATAGATAATCAGATTTACATTCACACCCTGCTTTATTCTGGATTAACTCTCAAACGAACCCCAGCCCTTAACTGCATCCCACATTGGTGCAACTGTCCCGAGGTTCCCCTCCAACGTGGGGGCTCAGCTGTGTTCTTCGGGGGGCAGCTGGATGGACAGCCCTGGAGAGCTACATTCCCCTCAATGCACTGCCCCCACATACACCTCACCCTGACCAGGACCAACCCTCTCTGGAGATGACAAAGGAGACCAGTCTCCATTCGCTCCCTGAGCAACTGAGAGGGCAGGTGTACATGAGCCAAAGGAACCAACTTGAAAAACCACAAGCCTCTTTTACATACAGTAGCTGCTGCCCTGCGCTGGATTAGAACCAGCAGCCTAGAGCTAAAACGGCTGCGTCTTCCCATCCCAGCTCCACCCATCCCCCCTCAGAGGGGAAATGAGAAGCAAAGAGAATGCAAGAGGAGCCCTGGAGGATTTACACTTCTCTAGAGCCACGCTGCCCCGCAGAGCAAAGCAAATAAATACACATTTTAAATCTATAATGAGTGCTTCCGGAGGGCAGAGGGCCTGGAGCCCGAGAAGCTGCCTCAATTTCTCTCTGGAGGTTTTTAGTTTGAGCCTGGAGCAATCGACCATTCAAAGGAGACGTTAAGAGTTACGGCGCAGTTTATTCTGATCATTTAATTCGGAAGTTTCAATAAATTAGACTTCAATCAATTCAAGTA